AAAATTAAATATAAATTTTTAGTCGATTATTTTAGGAAATAATAATAATTATATTAAGGGCATTTGAACCTTGATGACGTTTCAGTTTGTGCAAAGCATGTGTGACGTCATCAAGTTTCAAATGCCCTTAATGGAAAATTTATAATTAATAATATAAATATATAAATAATATAAAATAATATCTAGAAATTTTCGTCAAATTGTAGAGGAATGAAAGTCGTCAGTTTTTGCGAAAAATTTTTTAAATTGAAAAATGATAATATATTAAAAATGCAGGAATTAATTTCTCGTATGTCGGATTAAAAAATAAATTTCGAATATTCTTTTCCTTTTTGAAAAGTGAAAAATGAGAAAATATGCAAAATTTATATTCTGGAAAATATTCATTATAATTTTTTTTCCTCTAGATAAGTGATAAGGATATCGTGGATGCTGCAAAGGACCGCAAAGCTTAAAATGAAGGAGAAAAATATCCAGAGTTCTTCATTTTCCTTTTTTCTCTCTCTCTCTCTCTTTTATTTCTCTTTTGAAAAGAGAAACAAATTTTTATATCGAATCGGAAATATTTTTCAAAGAGCATTTCTCGCAGGGAACAATTTTTCATAATCTCTTCAATTTCCATATATACAAATCCTTTGTGTCTGTTTTTTTTTCTCTTCTTTTCTCTTGATCTCCTTTATTTTTTGTTATCTTATATTCTTTTATGACAATGGTAAGTTTTCATTTCTATCGTCTATCACTCTTATCTTTGAGTTTATTCTCATATACATTTGGCCGTTTACAAAAAACCAAAATGCTCGTAAAATAGTTTGCCGAATATCGACCTTTTAGAAAATCTCCATTTAGATAGAGAAACTATAAAGCAGTCGCTGATTTGAATAAGATTTCCCTTTCAGAATAGTGTAGAAGTGTTTGAATTTTATTATAATATAATATAAAGTTCAATTTTTTTCCTGGTTTCATTCGGGGAAAAATTGATTAAAATAGATCATTTTTTTTCTTGGGCTAAAGTTTTAATATTAGTTTTTTTTATCAATGTAGTTGTTTATTTTAGTTATCAAAATTATTGTATAAACTTTAGTTATTTTTGACATTATGTCATGACGTTAGAAGATATCAATTTATCGGGGTTATTAATGAGATTATATACAGAAGTTGAAATAAAAAGAATTATTTGTTCCCCTTTTTATTTTTATGGAGAATTCTCCGCATTAATCGATTTTTATTATTGTGTACTCAGGTGGTTTTATTTAAGAGATGTTCAAATTTCTGCAAAATTTTCTTTATTTTTTGCATTATTTGTGGAAATTTTCGCTTTATTTTTATTCGCTAAAAAAAAATATATTCTACTTATTAGTTGATTGATAATTGTTCATTTTTGGTATTAAACACATTTCTGTTCTCAAAAAATATTTAATTTGGATATACAAAAAGTATTTTTTATTCGCTAATTATTGATAATTTTTAATTCTTAAATATTGATAAAAAAAAATTGTTACCTAATTTTTATTGAATTATTAATTAACTAGCAAATGTTACGCACGCGGAACGTGATATTCGATTTATTATTATTATTATTATTTGCAAATTAAAAAATTTTTTTATTTTCATATATGAATTTTTGAATAATTTCAGATTCAAAATTTAAAAAAATTCAATTATTAATTTTTTTAATTTTTTTGAAAAAGTTCTTTGAGAATTTCCAAATTCTTTTGTTTACAATTTACGTAATTTTTTTTTAAAAATTAATTCTACCGAATTGTTAATCAAAAAGTATGAAAAGTTAAAGTTTTCAAAGATTTTAATTTGAAATGATAATGTAAAATTTTAACTGAAATTAATTTTTAAATCAATATTTACTAAAACAATCCACGAGAATTCAATTATTGAAATACAAAAATGAATGAATGTTTCGTAAAATTGAACTCTCAGAAAGAACTTTCTCATCAAATTTTAAAAATATTTGATTTCTCTTGACAAATATTAGTAATAAAATTTTTAAAAATAAGTACATTTTTCGGAAATTTGATTAAAATTTTAATTAAAAATAATTGAATTTCTCCAAACAATTTTTTAAGAGTTTTTGAAAATAATTGAAATTTTGCCAAGAATTTTATTAAAATTTTTGAAAATAATTGAATTCCGGAGAAAAATTTATAAAGATTATTGAAATTTTGACGAGAATTTTTGTAAATTATTGAACACAATTAAATTTCTGCGAAGAATTATATTAATTTTTGAAAATAATTGAATTCTTGAGACGAATTTTATTAAAATGTCTTTTTAAATAATTAAATTCTTATTTATGAAATTTTATTGAAATAGTAGACATTGAAAATAATTGAATTTTGACAAATTTTTGAAATTATTTAAATTTCTACGAAGAATTTTATTGAAATTTTGAAAAAAAAATTGAATTGTTACAAAGAATTTCATTAAAATTTTTGAAAATAATTTAATTTTTTCAAGAAATTTAATTAAAACTTTATAGAAAATAATACTTAAATTCTAATAAATAAATTGTAGCAAAGGTTTTTAAAATAATTGAATTTCTTTGATGAATTTTAATAAAATTTTTAAGAATAATTTCATTTTTCGAGGAATTCCATTAAAATTGAATTAAAAATAATTGAATGTCTGCGATGAGTTTTATTATTTATGAACGAAAATAATTGAATTCCTGTAAAAAATGTTATTATTTATGAAAATAATTAAATGTTTGCGTAGAATTTTATTAAAAAAAATTTTAAATAATTGAATTCTTTTGGACAATTTTATTAAAGTAGTGGATTTATTAAAAATCATTGAATTGAAGAAAGTTTTTTAAAATAATTGAAATTTTGCCATAAATTTTATTAAAATTGATGAAAATAATTGAATTTCTAAGAAGAATTTTACTATACTTTTGAAAATAATTGAATTTCTGCAATCATTTGTAATTACTTCAGAATTCAATTTCTTTTAGGTTTTTAAAATAATCGTGTTTCTTTATAATTGAAATTAAACACTTACTTATTCAATTTTCTTTCGTTAATATTTTGTTAATAATTGTTATTAATTGTTATTAATATTATTTTACTATTAAAATTTTATTAAAATTATTGATAGAAAATTAAACTCACTTAAACAATTTTATTAGAGTTTTTGTAAATAATTAAATTCTTTTGAAGAATTTCTTTTTGTTTCTTCAAAATAATGTAGTTTTTAAATAATTTTAATTTGAAATTTTCAAATAAAAAATTTAAAAAAAAATTTAAAAAAAAGTCGTGTCTATTAAAAATTATAATTAAATATTTCATTAATTGAAGTTTATTAAAATTGTATGATAAATAATTGAATTCCTGTAAATAATTTTATTATTTATAGAAATAATTTAATTTTTGCGAAGAATTTTAATATTTTTTAATATAATTGAATTGTTTTCAAGAATTTATTAGAAGTTCAGAAAACAATTCAATTCTTTCAAAAAATTTTATTAAAAATAGGAAAAAATTTTATTGAATCTAATGTAATTAATTTCATGGGTGATCCAATTTAATTTAATTTAATCTACATTTTATTTATTTACAAAGAAGTGGAAGGAAAAATATTTTTTTTTGCAGAAAATATTTTTTGTTTACAAATTTTTATTTCTTGAATTGATAATGAAAAAATTAGCAAAAGAAAATAGTAAAGTTTAGTTTGTAGACAAAAATTTAAATAGAAAATTATTTTTTTCTTTAAATCGTAGAATTATTCTAAAATTCTAAATTATTATAAATATAAATTATTTCTAAAATATATATTTGTCAATTTATTCAGAAATGAATTTTTTTTTAGATGCTTTGCTTTTATTTCTACAATACTGTACATATACGTTACTCGAATAATTTGAATAAAAGATAGAATTTTAATTTTAAAATTTGTCTTTTTTATATATGTGTATAATTTCTAACAATATTTATAAATGCATACATGGGTAAACCTTTGATTTTATACGCTTCCACACGCGAACGATGTTTCATGGAAAATATGTCACGAATGAGTGAAAGGAATTTTGTTTTATTGAAAAATGTATCAAACTTTAATAAGGTATTTCATGTGGAAATAAAGTTGATAAATTTTTTTTTTGTGGACTTTTTCCAATATTATATATCAATAATATAGTTTAATAAAAAATATATTTTGAACCTTTTTATCAAAATATTGATGTAATTGGATTTTGTTTTTTTTCACAAAAATATTTTTCTCAATTTTGTTAAATTTATGGAAATTTGAAATTTATATATGTCAAAAAAAAAAGTTATCTCTCTTTTTTTTTGTTAGAAGAAATATTTTTGATTTAAAAGAATTTATTTACAAAGAGATTACATTTTTTTTTTGAGTAAATTTTTATGTACACTGAACAAAATTTATTTTGTACAATTTACTTGATTGTAAATTTCAAAATAATTTGATGACAATTAATGAGTTAAAAAAAAAGTGAAAATGAAAATTAGTAAAAGGTGATGAATAGTACTAATAATAGTGTAAATAAATTAATAAAGTAAATAAAAATAATAAAATAAAAAATTAGAAAAAATTAATGAAATAAAAAATTAGAAAAAATTAATAAAATAAATAATAAGAAAAATTATAAATAAATGAATAATAAAAAATATTGATAAAAAATAAGAAAGTACCTAAATGAAGTAAATGAAAATGATTAAAACAATAAATTAGTTAGATTAGAAGATATAATATAAGAAAATTAATTAAATATTTTATTAAAATAAAATAATAAAAGTACGAAAAAAGTCCAAAATGTAAAATTAAATAGTAAAATTTATAAAAATATTGAATTAATTAAAATATAAAATAAAAAACAAGAAATAGATTAGAGAATAAAATAATATTGAGGTCTTAAATAATTAATAAAAGATTGAAATTACAAAAAAAAAATGAAAAATTAATTACTGAAAATGATTTTTGTAAAAAATAATTTTTTTTTTTTTTAAATAAAAGATTACAAAAATTCTTACCAATTTTGATGCTGATTTTATCTTTTCAATAAGCCATCAGATCAGAGAATGTGATTCGTCGGGAAGTTTTTCCTCACTGAATTTTTGCCAGTATTTTCTGCAGATGGACTTTTATCTTTATAATTTAATTTAAAAAAAAATCGCATGGAATATGAGAAAGAGAGAGAATAGGAACTGTATATATAGTAAATTAGTAACTGGAATTTCAAGATTTCACAAATATTCCTTTTTTCTCTCCTCTGAATTGTTCATATAGTTAAAAAACTTTTCACTAAGCACTTTAAGTTCCTTGGAATTTTCTGGCATCTCTCTCTCTCTCTGTCTTTCTCCTTTTTTTCCTTAGATTTTCTTGAGAAGATTAATTCACTTTTCACAAGCAGTGCGAGAGATATATAATTATGTATATCTCTTTTTTTAAATATCCAAACAATTGTCATCACTTTTCAAATCTTTTGCGCACAACTCTTCTTTTGTAATTTCTTTTTTTTTTAATATTAAAACGAAAAAAAATTATGTCACTGTTTATTCGTATTATTAGTCACTTTTATCCTTCTTATGGGAATTGAACAAATACCAAGAAATAAAAAAATGATCGATAGATTCATTTCGCAGCATCTGAAAATATTTTTTTTAGAAAAAAAATTATCGGTGTTTTTTATGGGGACAAATATTATTTTGTTCTATAATTTAGTAACTTATTGTTAATATTATTTATACACAATAATAATAATAATTATTATTATTATTTTTTTTTTAAACTGACTTTTAACAATCATTATTATTATTTAAATAATAATAATAATAATAATAATAATAATAATAATAATAATAATAATAATAATAATAATAATAATAATAAGACCTATTAATAATAATAATGAAGTATCCGGACAAGACGTCAAAACCAAAGAAATCCAAAGTAAATGAAATCCAAAAAAGTAAAAAAAAATAGTTTCACTTTGGACTTATTTTTTGTCCTGGTCAAAAAGTCCAAAGAAATTAAAAATCCAACGAAAAATATTGAGATATAAAAATTTTAATTGTTGCCTCGAATGAAATAATTTTTTTGAGTTGTTCATTTTGATGACTGTCAATCAAAAGTAGGTAAACTTAACATTTTAAATTTCTGAAAATAATTAGATGAATTGAGTAATGTAATTTGAATTATATTGAAAAAATAATTAAATTTTTTGTAAAGAATTTTATGAAAATTTGTTGAAAATAATTGTATTTCTTGGAATAATTGTTTTAAAAATTTTATAGAATAATTGGAATTTTTCTAGAAATATTTTTATTTATGAAAATAATTTGAATTTTTGTGAAGAATTTCTTTTTATTTTTCAAAATAATTGAATTTATTGTGTAGAATTTTATTATTTATGTAAATAATTAAAATCCTTCGATTTTAACATTAACATTTTAAATTTCGATTTTTTAGTGTAAAAAGTAAAAACGTGGCTTTTTTTTTTACATATTTCGTTATTTATTTTAGATTTTTTTGACTTTGAACATTTTTATTTTGGATTTTTTGTACTTTGGACTTTTTTTCTCGGATTTTTCGATCAGAATTTTTTGGATTTGATTTTTTGTCCTGTAATCTAATAATAATATTGTTCCTATAATAATAAAATTATTATTAGTTTTATTAATTTTTTTGTTTTTATTATTTTTTTTAATTCAACATATAATTCAATAATAATTATTATTAATTGTGACAATTTATGGATTTAAATTTTTATTATTGAAGTATGTTTATTTAAATATATTTGTTTTTTAAATTAATATTTTAAATTCACTTTTTTTTCTTCACTTTTGTTAATTTTAATTTTAAGTTTTTTTCTCTTCATTTATAGTTATCTTCATTTATTAATTATATCATTAATTTTTTGATTTTTTAATTATCGAAGTATTTGTATTTGAATATTTGTTTTTTAAATTAGTATTTTAAATTCACTTTTTTTTCTTTACTTTTGTATAATTTTGAATTATTTTCTCTTCATTTAATAGAGTTCGAAAAAAAGAGTTGTTATTTATTAGGAAAAAATAAACGTATTGTTCATAATTATTATATTATATAATTGAAATTTCATTTTTATATTCATTTGTAATTTTTTTATAGTTAAATACATAAAAAATTGAAAATCTATTGATTATTTTGATATTTAATTAAATACATAAAAAATTGAAAATCTATCGATTATTTTGATATTTAATTAAATACATAAAAAATTGAAAATCTATTGAGTTTTTTTTAATAATTAATGATTGAAAAATGAAATATAGTAAGTATAATTAAAGGCGAGTTTTAAAGAAAAGTAATTGCGAGGATTATGAATCTTCTTAGAATGAAAATAATTCAAAGATTCTTCATCCTCTTATATTGCATTTCCGGTTTCAATTGGATTAATTTTCTTCATTTGTAAAATAATACTAACTTACATCTTTTGTAAATGAATGCTCGATTGTATTACTTTAGTATAAATGAGACGATATGATTTTAAACTAGTAATTAATCCTTTTTTGTCCATTTTTACTTTATTTTATTATTTACTTTTCTTTATAATTGATTTGTAATTTTTTTTTATTTTTCCTTGATTTATGAATTGAATTTTTGTAAATTCAGTTATTTTTATTTTATTTTATTTATTAAATAAATAAATAATAATATAGTTAATATTAAATAAAAGTTTAAATTTTAATTTTATTGCAGCTAATTTTTATGGTTCATTAGTCACTTATTATTTATTCATTATTTATTATTATTTTCTGTTTCGTCAATTTTTTTCTCAATTTATTATTATTATTTGGTCTCTTTTTTCTTAGTAGTAATTTTTTTAAAAAAATTATTTTAATTATTATTTTCTTATTATTTTAATTATTTAAAAAATTAATTCTTTTTGCACTTTTAATTTTTATTTAATTTTTTTATTTTACTGTGCGTATAGTAAATTTAAAACATTTTAATTATTTTGTAGTTTTTATTAATGGCATTTACATTATAAAGATAAACTATATACGATTTTTTCGGAGTAAAGAATGTGTGAGAGATAAATTTTTAAATATATATGCAAAAGATGTGGAATCTATAAGATGATTTTATGACTCCATATACAAATCGGGGAATTATTTTAATGGGAAGAAATGAATATGTGCAGGCGGAATAATAAGTGGCTGGTAAGAATTAAAGCAAACGCTTATATTCTCTCTCTTCCTTTCTCTCTCTCATAAATTAGTGGTGATATTAATGAGATCACGTAGCCAGTGGGAAAATATTTTTGGAATTTAAAATATTTATTAATTTTATAATTAATAAATACTAATTTATTTTAAAGAAATGTGCTTTAATAAACAAAGTATTTATAAATCTAATCTAAATTAATAATTAAAGAATTTTTTATATTTTTAATTATTATTTAATTATTCAATTAATTATTTAGTTAATAATAAATGAAATGCAAAATAAGTACCTAGAATTAATGAAAAAATTATTAATTATAATAAAATTCGATTTTAATAATTGAATAATATTTATAGTATTAAAATTTTTAATTTGCAAGAAAAAAAAAATGAGTGTGTATTAATTTTTATTTGATGTAAATATTTATCGTTACTATTTTCTTCTCGTTTGGAAGTTTTACATTTCCGTATGATAGGGGCCCTGTGAGTTTAAATAGAGCGCATATAAAGCTTGCATATCATCTCAATTAATTTAAAATTTAAACTTGACTAATTTATGAAATTTCGGCTGCAACTAATTTCAAGTTTCACTTCCTTTAATCCTCTTCAGTTTAATATATTTGCAATTTACAGAAGTTCTCGCAACTAGTTCATATCCTTCAAGCAATATTGGTACGCATAGAAATGTAAAAGGATTAATTAAATGACTGAAAAAATTATTTATTTATTTTATTTTTATATTTATTTATTCTTTATTATTTTATTTATAATTGAATATTATTATTTATATTAGTAAAGATAATTAGTAATTAGTAAATATGTTTGAATTAGTAAATTAAATATTTTTTAGTACTTAAATTCAAAAATAATTTTTATTATCTAAGAGTATTTAAAACTTTATGATAATATAATTTTATTTTTATTAAAAAATTAAAAGAATATTTCATGTATTTCTTTATATATATGATAATTTATATTTTTATGCATGAGAAAAAGGGATGTTGAACTTTCTATATAAGAAGATAAGTGGACTTGGAAGAATTGGTTTTAGAATTTGAGGGCAAATTTTTTTACAAACACAATGGTCGTTAATGGTTCAAAGTTGTTACCAAAGTGTATATATATAGGTATATAATATTATATATATAACGTACAGAATATTGTGATGATAAAAAGCGATAATGCGAGATTAAGTCGAGACACTAAAGTGACGCAATTTTTTTAAGTTATTTTTTTTTTCTTAAAAAACTTGCGCCACATGATTGAGAAAAATGAGACTTAAAAAAAGTTTAAAGGTGATGAACACATCAAAAAATAATAGGCATATATATAAATATATATTTTCATAGTCATAGTCCATTAACTGCCCTCCTTATCACTCCCCACCCCAGTTATTGCAATATCAAAATGTCCTCTGGTTTTTTTTATATCTGAGTAATATTTATATTTAATTTCTGTATAGAAATTCTATATTTACTTAAGTAATAATAATAATATTAATAATAATTTTAATTTTAATTTAAAAGAAAAAATTAAAAAGAATTGAATGGTCTATGTGAATAAATAAATAAATAAATAATAATAATAATAATAATAATGAAAAAATTTACTTAACTTCTTAAATTAAATTTCAAAAGAAAAAATAGATTTTAAAAGTGAATAAATAATATAAAACTCTTTAAAAAAAAAATACTTGAGATTTTGTGAAAAAATTGTGATAAAAGAAATAACATTTTTTTACTTATTTCTTTAAAAAAACTGGAAGTTTTGTTAAAACTTTGTGACAGAGAAATATGAATGATGCAAATTTATTCTCTTTTTTCAAAAAGAAAGAATTAAGAATTTTCTACAAAAATCGTGATTATGAAATAGAAATTATCTACTTTTTTTTATTCACTTCTAAAAAAAAAAATTATAAAAAATATTAAATCGAAAATTATGGAAAATTTTTTCCAAAAGAAACTTAGAATGTTGCAAAAAAAAAATGTTGTTTAAAAAATTGTTTGCTTTATTTTGAAAAAAACTGAATATTCTAAACAAAAATTGTGAGTGAGAAGCAGAAAATATACAAAATATTTTCCATTTCCTAATCTTAATTATTTAACAATTTTCCATTTTTTTTTTTTTTTAGAAAAAGAAAGAGAAAATAAACCTTTGCATAATTTCGATTATGGTCAATGTAAATAAGTTATTAAAAAAAACTGAAATTTTCAATATTTTATTTTCAATTTAATTTTTTTAAAAAACTTAATTGAAAATTGGAATATTGTTAATAAAAAGTTTACTAATTTTTAAAATTCTCGACACAGTTTTTGGTGCGAGAAAATATATATATATATATAACATACATAAATTGTGAAGAATGACAAAAGTTAAAAAAAAAGAAGGAAAACTTAATAAAAGTCTTGAGAAACTCAATGTTTGATAAAATAGGATTAGAGCGATCTTGTGGTATTTTTATTAAAATTTGTCCTTTATTCGCTTCAGGAATTTTAGAGTCTTCTTGGAAAACTTTCATTCAATGTAGAATATTCGACATGAAAACACCATAAATAAATTATGACTTGAAAATAAATTCAAAAATCTTTTTTTTTAATGAATATAAAAAAATATAAAAAGGAAAAAAATATATAAAAAAATATCAAAATTAAAAAAAAATAGTAAGGATAAAAAAAGTATTAAGTATAAGAAAATATTGAATATAAAAAAATATTAAATATAAAAAAATATTAAATATAAAAAAAATAATAAATTTATATTATAAGTACGAATATATTTTATTTTACTCAGAAGTTTGTTAAATAAATAACACTTAGAGAAAAAATTATGTTTTAATACAAGAAACAACTTGAAATAAAAATTTTCTTTCGACTAATCAAATTTTATTGATTAAGATGAACTAAATTTTTCTTTGAATCAACAAAATTGTTTTTCCCCAAGAAATAAAATAGGTTTAACATTTCAAAGAGGTCAACAGCTTGGTTCAGTGAAATAAATTTTTTTCCGAGTGTAATAATTTTTCTCTCAAGTGCAAAAAATTGTTTGTATAAATAAAAATACTGTTGAAAAAAATTATTCAATTTCTAACGGACTTTCAGTTCGTTAGAAATTGAATAATTTTTTTTTTAATATTTCGATTGAACAATAATTTTTTTTTTCAAATTTAAACATTTAATGATGAAATAATAAGAAAAAAGTGGAGGACAATGTACTTGATTTTATTGACGATTTAGTATGAATATGTATACATTTAGGCCAAGTGAAAATTTTGTGACAATGCCAAGTTCTTGTCTTATATTCCATCAACAATTTCCAGGTATACATAATCTTGATTTTCATTTTAAATTTTGCAACAGTTTTTGCAATAAGAAGAACAGTTTTGTTGAAGATTTTTTCTTTTTTTTTTTTTTTTTTTTGACGAAATGTTATTAAAAATTTTCAATTTTGGAAATTATTATGATTTTTATTATTTATAGAAATTTATTTCCACCTGCAAAATTCGTTGATAATCTACTAATATTTTTTAGATGTAAAAAAATTTTTAATTTCTATTTTTAAAATTCAATTTTCCACTGTTTTGAATGAATTCTTTAGTAAAAAAAATTTTCAGGCAAGGCAAATAAAAAATAATTAATTTTCGAAAACTTCAATAAAATATATACTTATTGTGCATTTTGTCGTAACGAAACTTTTTTTTTTCTTTTTTTTTTTTTGAAACATTTGCCAAATAGTTGCGAGCGACGTTTTTCTGACACTTGGACTGTGACGTCACTCTGTGACACATTTTGTCAATGTTTTACACTATATTGAATTCAATTTATATGAAAATTTCAATTCAACGTGATAAATTGGGTGAAAGAAAAAAAAAATTTGTTTTTCTAACTTCGTTTATTTATTTGATTTGATTTTTTTAGGGGGGTGGTGGGTATTTTTCAATTTATTTTATTCGTTTCGGAATTTTTTTTATACTTTTCTATATATCGGGTAGTTTTATTTATTTAGGTTTTGACATTATATAATAATAGTCATTATAAATATTTGCTTTATAAATTTTATTTGTTCTTTTCAAAATTGCCTTTCCGTTTCTGTTTCTGTTTTCAATATGTAAACTGTTTTACAATTTTTATAATTTAATTTTTTATCTATTTTTTATTATTTATTTTTATTTATTATTTTATTACTACTTTTATTATTATTATTATTATTATTTTTATCATTATTATTATTATTATTATTATTATTATTTTTTTTTTTTTATTTTTATTATTTTTAATATTTTAATTATTGTCACTATAATTATATATATATATATATATATATTTTTTTTTTTTATTTGAATTTTGTGGGGATTATTTTTCAATATTTTTATTTGCACTATTTTTATTCTTATTGTTTTAATTACCATTTTTATTTTTACTATATTTAATAGTTTTAATAATATTTTCTTTACTATTATTATTTATTTGCAGAATGTTATCAACTTAATTTAAAATATTTTAATTTTTTTTCGAGTACATTTCATAAAAATATTTTATTTCAACAACAAATATTTGATTAATATTTGTGGAAGCAAATATTTTTCTAGTTTGTCCAACAAATTTTTTTTTGTTTCACTTTAAAACTGGAAAGTTAGTAAAAAAAATTTTTTTTTAATATAGTTGAGATAATGAAAATTTCTCTTGTCGATAAAATTTTATTGAAAACAAATTGTTTTCTACAACAGAATTTGTATCTAAATGAAAATTTTTATTTACAAAAAATTTGTATCTAGAATGAAATTTTTATTTACAAAAAATTTGTATCTAGAATGAAATTTTTATTTAGAAAAAAATTTTTATCTACAACAAAACTTTTTTCTACAATGAAAAAATTTGTTTTCTCAAATATTAATCATGATTTTATTTTATTTTAATGAAATTGGAACATTTTCTTTTACACTGTTCGAAATTCTTAAGATATGAATTTTTTCTTTTAATATTTAATTTAGCACGCAATAAAAAAATTGTATAATGTTAGTATTTTGTAACAATTTTCGATGAATTCGAAATAAATTTATTTTCTAATCACTATTTATTATTTATTTGGAGGAAGGGGGTTTTTTTTTTATTTTTCCACCAAAACACTCACTAATGCACTGGAAGAATTTTTTCGAAAATCCACTTTTGATGATGGAACTTAAAATCACTTGGAAAAAAAAATTTAGAATATAGACACTAAAAAAGTTTGTTTAATTTAATTTTTTTTTCTTTTATTTCTCCGTTATTTTTCAATGCAATTTGGGCGGGAAAATTTTCTAGGTAGGAACTCATATTAAAAGCGCTCGTCGCGCGAAGCGCACTGAACGTATCCGAACGAATAGGACGAGAGTTAGGCTGGGGTGTCAGAAAATGACCCTGGCAGTGAGAGTCGCCTGCGCATTGCCATTTCTGTTTTTCAAGACTCCCTTTTGCTTTTTATTTACTTTAATTATATATACCTTTTCGAAATAGTACGTATATTGACACCCTAAAACTTTTTTTTCGCATAAATTCTTATTTATTGTTTTCTATTTCTCTAATATTGTTTTCTCTATTTCTATTTCTCTTTTTGAAAGTCTATTTTTATTTACTTGAATGAGAATACAAATTATTCTCTTCTATCTTTTCGTGTGTTATAATCTCAAGTTTCACAAAGGGGGATGTCTTATTTTTTTTTTTCATATACACGTGATGATGGGAAACAGATTTTGGTTTAAGTTTCTCATTAACTAAAATTGACAACTTAATGGAACTTTTCCTGTAAGGAAAAAGTTTATTTCGATAAAAAAAATTCTATTCGACTGTAAATAATTATATTCCGATAATTGCGTTGTGCATTGGAATTATAATATGATAATTGTGAAATGCAATAATATAATATAATTATTATTATTATTATTACTATTTTTTTATTATTTCTTTTTTTATTTTTATTATTATTACAGTCGACTCTCGATAAGATAAACTCGAAAGGAAAAAAAAAAAACTTTGAGTTATCGAAAAGTTTGAATTATCAAATGTTGACCAAAGAATTACTTTGAGTTATCGCGCTTTGTCTTATCGAGAGTTGACTGTAATTATAATTATTATTTAATTATTATTATATAAAGTCAGAAAATTACATTGTTATTATTATTATTATAATTATCGTTAATAATTCGAGGAGAATATTTCTCTTCGTATATATTTATTTTTATTATTTTAGCAAAAACAAAAAGTTAGATCGTTGCGAAACACCTGGTGTTCATTATCATTTGTTTGTTTTTTTTAGAGAGAATTTTTAAATGCAATAAGTTTCTTATTGGCTTTTGGAAAAACATTTTCTTCTCGTTTCTTATATTTCAATCTGAAATTTTCACCTTTTCTTCTTTTCAATATTCCAAAGTGCTTTTGACTTCAGTGACATGTACATTTTTTTCAAGGTGCATTATTCGCATTTCATTTTCGAAAATCCTCGAAAGAAATTTATGCCTTTGTCAATTTTTAAGCAGACATTTCCAATGAATTTTTAAATATTTTTTTATATTTCATTTTCTATATTTTCATATTTTTTTTTATTTTCTTTTTGTTTTTTCATTCTTTTAAATTTTATTTTTATTGAAAATTATTATTTTTGTTAAAAGAAATTTTAAGTTCCGATAATCTGTTCTCAGTTGGAAGTTAATTGTTGTTTGCTTTCTTGTTTCTTAACTTTTTAATAATTTTTCTTTTCAAATATTTTCAATTTTAAAATTAATGTATTGAAAATCATCGAATTGTTGCAAAGAGTTTTATCAAAAATTTTAATATTAATAGAATTCCTTAAAAAAATTTTATTGTTTAGAAAAATAATTGAATTCTCGCGAAGAAATTTATTAAAATTTAAAAAAATCCTAATTAAATTTTTTTGAAGAATTTCTTTGAATTTTTTTTAAACTAATGGAGTTTCTTTAATAATTTTAATTGAAAATTTTGAAAGCAATTGAATTTTATGAAGAAGAATTTTATTAAAATCGTATTGAAAATAATTGAATTCTTGCAAAGAATTTTACTATTTATAAAAATAATTGAAATGTTCCGAAAATTCATTAAAATTTGAGAAAATAAATAAATTTTATATTAATATTTGAAAATTTAAATTCTTTCGAGAAACTCTATAAAAATTGTTTTAAAAAGAATTGAATTTCTGCAATGGATTTTATTGTTTATAAAAATAATTGAATTATTGCGAAGAATTTTACTATTTATAAAAATAATTGAAATGTTTCGAAGAATTTATTAAAATTTTAAGAATTAATTAAATTGTCCTGAAGAATTTGATAGAAATATTTGAAAATAATAAAATTTTTTCGCGAAAATCAATTAAAGTTGATTAAATAAATTAAAGTTGTTTCGAAAATAATTGAATTTCTTTAAAGAATTTTGTTATTTTTTGAAAATAATTGAATTCTTTCAATTTTTTTTTGACGAATATATTTAAAAATTGCATTGAAAGTAATTTAATTTTTATTTAAAATTTTTTTTAAATATTTTGGGAATACTTGAATTATTTTTAGAGAATTTTAAATTCTTGTTGAAATTGAATTCTATATGAAAATTTTTGAAAATACATAATTAAATTCTTTCGTGTAATTCTATTTAAATTAGATTAAAACTAAATTAATTCATGCAAAGAATTTTAGTATTTATGAAAATAGTTGAATTGTTTTGAAGAATATATTAAAATTTTAGGAAATAATTGTTTATGGAAATATTTTAAAATATTTGAATTCATCGGAGAAATTTAATTAAAATTGTTTTGAAAATAATTGAATTTCTGCAAAGAATATTATTATTTATAGAATTAATTGAATTCTTGCGAAGAATTTTACTATTTATAAAAATATTTGAATTTTTTCGAAGGATTTATTAAAATTTTAGAAAAAAATTGAATTTTTTCGAAATGTGTTGAGAATTTTTTTAAAAATTGAATTCTTCCGAGGAATTTTATTAAAATTGTTTTGAAAATCAATGAATTTTTGTAAAGATTTTACTATTTAAAAAAACAATTGAATTGTTTACCAGGATTTATTAAAATTTTAGAAAATAATTGAATTCTTTCGTGAAATTTTATATTAAAATTTTAGAAAATATGAACAGTAATAATGAATTTTGTACTTAATAAGTGAATGTTTAAAATTTTGATTATGAAATTATTTAAAAAATTTGTATTTAAAAATAAAAAGTTTTGTAATTTGCATAACAATAATAAATTGAATATCACATTTCGTAACATTTGCTAATTTAAATAATAAAGATCTTAGACTTTTTTGTTTGGCCTAATAGCTTAATTATTATTATTTTTTTCTTTGTTTTTTTTTTATTTATTTCATAATAGACGGACTTTTATAGTTGTTTTTTGTTAATAATAAATAAATTTAATTTTTATATAGTAAATTTTGATTGGACAGATTTCTATATATAAATATATGAATATGCGATGTAAAAAGAAAAATGAAGCGAAAGAAAATGATATAATTTTCATTCTGAATGTGAGTTGTTTAATTTTTTTTGTCCCATAAAGATTTAAAAAAGTGACAAATGAGTTTTTTTTATATGACTTCCTGCTTTCTTGAAAAGAAGGGGATCTTTTGAAGTATTGCGTTTGATATTCTCTCTATCTATTGCCCAATTCCTTTAAAATATTATAAATATATATTTAGCTTCGAGAATTTTTTTTTTTGTTTTTTTGTGCGCAGAAAAAAAATTTCTAACGTTATGAGAAAATTTCTACTATTTCGTTTAATATTTAGGACTAAAATCTGAATTATATTTTGTTAGGTAAATTAAACTTTAATTTAGTGCCAATTTTTATAAATTACTAAACCTTAAAATGTTAAATTTTTTAAATTGTTACTAATTTATTTATTTATTTTTAGTTACTAATTTGAATTTTGACTTGTTGCTAAATTCAGATTTGAAGAAATATTGAAAAGTTGTTTTTTTACCCTTTTTATTTTCTTCTTTGAAACATGAAATTCGTTATGTGGCAGCAGAATGCTAAGAGTGGAAAATCAGGATCCATTTAATGCCAAAAGCACCTCTCATATATCTTTTGCAAAATGAATCGGAATCCACTCTATGTGGTGGTGATCGAAAGCTTCATTCAAAGACATCGATCTACAATGAATGTGCTTGATTTCATCACATGGTGTACACACTTCAGCAACAGTAATAATAATCTTGATGATGTATTCCATAGATAAGAATAGTTTGAAATATATATTTATTAGAAATTTTTGCTAAATTGAGCCTTTTGGATAATTTATATTGTTACAATAAATGACTTATTGTCTTGATTTCTAGACTCGACCTATACACATTTATTATATTACAGTTATATCTGAAATTAATATTTGATATATCGCACCCAGAAAAAAGTACAATTAACTCCTAAGACTACTATTTATTTGTCTCAATTAATATTTGCTGCAAATAAAAAATTTTAATAGTAAATTTTATTTATGAATTTTATTCGGAAGAAAAAAATTTTATTTTAGGAAAATAAATAATTTCCTAGGCTCTGATATAAAGACTATCATGTTTTATGTCAAAAAATGAATTTCCATCCATTAGAGAAATTATGATGAAGATGAAAATTAATTAGTCACTGTATAAAATATGATAGTTTAGGATTGCTGATGATAATTGGGAAATTTTTCCGGGTTAATTGCATTTCGATTGTTTCTGTATATGTATATACATATATATATTGCAACAAGCTCTTAGAGAGCAAATACTTGTAGTTTAATATGAAAAGGTTCTTTAGCTCTTGAAAATTCCTTTTGATTTGTAAAGCTAACATCTAGAGTATAGATAAACGTACAATCTTGTTAATGGAACTATTGTGCATTACGACCTTCGCATCTATAAAGATTGCATCTTTCATGAATCGAAATATTTGCTCGTGTGCAAAAGAAAAATATTAATATATTTTCAAGGAACATTTTTACATATATTACTCCAAAAGGGAAGATAAACAGTAAAAAAGAAAAAAAGATGATAAGATCTTTTTTTTGGCATTTTTATTATTGGAAAAGGAATTTGAATTTTGTTGTCTAACCGCAGTGAAAGTATTTAAAAATACGGACTTTACGGACCAAAATTGAAAAATTACGGACCAATAATTGGTTCGTAATTTTTCATTTTTCGTCCGTTAAGTTTGAGTTAAATAAGGGAACATTTCACTTGAAACTAAATTGAATTTAGTTAAATTAAAATTAAATAAATTAAATTAAATTTTTCATAACTATAAAACATGTCAAATTTATAAAATCATTATTTTA